CCAACAAAGGCCCAACATAGCCCTAAAATGGCCCAACAGAGGCCCAACATAACCTCCAAATGGCCCAACATAAGCCCAAAACCGACCCAAAAAAAAAACCCGACCGAAAAATTTTTCGGTCGGGTGTTTTTTTTGGGCCCGAAAGCCGCCGGCAGAGCCCCAAATGACCCAACAAAGGCCCAACATAGCCCTAAAATGGCCCAACAGAGGCCCAACATAGCTGCCGGAATCACCCAAAATGCGCTGGCTGTAAAGAAAACCCCTTAAGAGGTGTTCCCTCGGCTGAAATCCTTTGGCTTCATGGTTTATTTAAAATCAAAATTCTAAAATATGTAAAAAGGGACCAAAAGATAAAAAGCTGAGGCCAACATTCTTGAGGCTAAATTTGGCTGAAATCCGGCTAAAAAAAGAGGCTCCAGCCCCAGGTTTTCATCCAGGAGCCACAAACGGGGATGATAAAATATATCAAACTATGACGCAATATGACCAACATTGAAAAAGCATGAAAAAGCCCTAAAACATTCCCCTTGAAGTTTCCAGTGCCACATGGAAGAGGTATTACTGAGGGAGAAGTGGGGCATGGGGGGGCCTGGGATGTGACCTGCACCAACACACTCCGTAGGGATACCCACCCAACTCATTGTGTAGTGGTGTGCCCAAACTCATGTTTCGAGAATCCGTTTTTTCTCATCCATTTGTTGCGCTTTATTTTGGGACTGAATTGGGCTGACTATTTCTCAGCAAAAAAAGGGGGCCTTCTACAAAATGACCTGCTTCGAGGGAGATGCCCTTGGGACCTGCAAATCAAACCACAGAGAGCCCTGCAGCACTCCTTGATGGTCTAAGTTGATTGCTAATGATATCCCAGGCTCGCCCTTGCCTCAGAAGCTGGGTCAATGGATTTTGTAAAGGATTCACAATGTAAGGTTGCCTGAGCGGGCAAAATTGCTAGTTCCCACCATGTATGTGTTTATCGGCATAAATAAATATAAATAATTATAAACATATAATTAAAGAAACGAAACCTATGACGGTTGTCCCTGTGGTATTGTAAAAAAAGACTCATTGCAGGGTGACATACGAGGTTTTAGAAACAATTTAGTTTACTGCAATGCACTAGGTGCAATTAGGATCAATTAGGCATTCAAAAACTTTTGGGCTTCGGGCTGAGGGTGCCTGATTGTAGCTGTCTACAGCTGTCTGATATAATAAAGCCATCAAAATAAAATTCGCCAACAAACGCTGTCTCTGCCCTGCAAAACCTGCCGGTATCTGCAGCAAGGCTTCATCCGCGCAATGCCTGTGGTGCAGGCCCCAGCTCCACTCCTCACACGTGCCACGGTTGCTGCAAAATCGGATTATCATACCCAGAGTGTGTTGCGTGTGTGTAATGTATGTGTATGTATATATATATATGTGTGTGTATATATATGTATGTATGTATGTATGTATGTATGTATGTATGTATGTATGTATGTATGTATGTATGTGTGTGAGTGCGTATTTGAATACTCCTTATCATGAACAGCTTGCTTACAAAATGACTTGGCTGTCTCGTGCGTTTTGATTCCTCACTGAAACCGTATGGCAGTGTGACTGGAAACTTAATGTTCATCTGACCAAATTCATCCATTTTCATTCATTTTCCAAAATCTATCCATGGCTGCAGGCTTGTCCTGGATTTTCATCCTTGGCTACGGCAGCTCCCTCCTTCAACTTCTTCGGTCCTCACCCAAGGAAGAACATAGAAAAACACCTTGGAATTCCTTTCGAACCCTTGTGAAATATATGCCAGGATCAACTGGATGGAATGGAAAGAGATTCAGTTTGAACAAGCCACTTACCCATTTATACTTATTATAATTTATCATCCTTACAAAAAGACATGGTCCTTGAACAACCTGGCCTTGTCGCTGGGGCTCTGCCTTGATTGGCATAGGCAACTCTGGGGCACCTCAAGCAGGGCACCGAAGAAAAGACTAGCAACACATGTGTCAGGGCTCTCACACCCCAGGATGGACCTGCAAGTCATGCCAATCTGTAAAAAATGGGGTAGCAAGTGAAGCCTAACTTACTCAGCGGGTCTTTTTTTTAGTGCACGGTGATGTTAGAATCTTCAACCAAGGGACTTTCAGCGTTGCAGTGCTTGCGCTTGACTGGCGTAACTGGTGGATCGTCTTGTGGAGGCGGAAGAGGGGGCGGAGATTGGAGCAACCAATTTCCCCTCACAAGGTGGTCACTCAGCTCCGCCCAAGGCCGATCAGCAGCCTTCATCCGTGGACGTTTTTCCGGCGTGTCCATGCCTCACATGTTGCTGCGGGCCCCAACCAGGCACACAGAGCAAGGAAAAGGAAATCTTTTGAGCATGAATTTACTGAACATTCAACCAGGGGAAGGAAGAAAACCATCAAAGAAAATCCTTCAAAATGGATTGGATCAAAATGGATCAAAAATGATCAAAATGGATCAAAATGGGATATCCAAACCATGTTCCTTTCCATTGTCTCTACCACCCTAAGACGGCCCTTGGTTGTTGAAGCCCTGATGCTTTCAAACCCCACAAACACATACAAACACCACTTGCCCCCTTGCATCCCCCCAAAAAAACTTCAGACAAAATTGTCTCAAGAGATGCAGTTAACGATTACCCGCTTGCAGCACCCAAGGCCGAGGACCTGCATCTGCGCCACTTGGAGCTGGCTCATATTCGCAGACAGCACCTGCCGATACAGGGAGGCAACCCTCCACCCTTACAGGATGGCTTGTTCCAACACCGGACTTGTTTTCCAGATAAGGAAATAACACGAAATTGCAGGACCAATCCAAACTGTAGCCAATAGGTATGTTAATTTCCTAACAGGGTAAAACATCCTTCACGCCCAAAGGTTTTCTGCCGCGTCTGCAACAATGCCACTGACAGCATTGGCAATCTCACCAGGGCCTACATCTATTCACTGCATTGGTAGCAGTGATTTGTCAACGCTTTTCAACCATGTTTTTCCAGTGTGTCAGAGCCGTTTAAACCAAAAAAAAACCTCACCAACAAGCTGAGCACGTTCCACCCAATTTGGCACCATCATTGTCCTTCCATGGGCCAGCACCCAATGCCCACAAAAAAATGACAATGGCGGCAACTGAGACTCGAAAGAAAAAGACTCTTGTACACATATCCGCACATACATATCACTTAAACATACTTAAACAACAGCCCTGTGAATGTCCTAGCTCAGGGTTCTACAAGCTGAGTCACCCATACTGGCGACCGGATAGCCTAAAGCAAAATCAGCATAGGCTATGATTCAATGCGCTTGCCGCATCAGGCAAGCTCAGACTTCTTCTCGGCTGGGGCAGCTTCTGTCTGGCTTGAGCTGGACGCTTGCTCAAGAGCTTGAAAAGAATCTTCCTGAATGTGACCCAAACGCCTCAACTTGGGAGCAGGTTGCTCATGGGAACTTTGTTCTGTCTGGTTCTTGTCGGCTGCCGAGGCTGGGGATGTGTTCTGTGAAGGCTGCTCTCGGACAGTTGGGTGAACTTGGCTGACCTGCTGGTCCTGGATAGCAAGCAAAGGAGGAGGGGTGCCGATGTCATGCTCTCCATGCACTGGCTGGTTGCCAGCGTGGATATGGATGTGGGTGTGATGGTGCGTATGGTAGTGGGTGTACTGGTTGTTGTGGTTGTGGGTGTGGTAAGTATATTTGTGGCGGTGGAGGTGTGTGGACGCCGCGATGGAGGTTTTGTGAGAGCTACTGTCTCCACTGCTATGATCGGAACTCTCCCCTGAAGCATATGAATCCGATGAGGTGATTGAGCACTCAGATTTCTTCGAAGATGCATCATCTGACATGGCGAAAGAACAGGAAATGAAAATGGCCCAATTCTGGCCCAATGCTCTTCACGGCTTGGGTTCGCTTTTTCGAGCCAGAGTCTTAGCACCGTTCAAGTTCGAACCCTCCTGCCCACTACTATCCAAACTGCAGGTTTTTACGAAGAATACCCCAAGCCCACCACCCATGTCGGAGGGCACCTGTCTCTTGCAGGGGCTTTGGCACACCTTCGATTCCAGAAGATCGCGAACCTGAGTCTCTACAAAATGACTTGATTGAATCTAGGCTCGACGCTAGCCCCTAGCAAACTGAACAACATGACTCAAAAACGCTTGCTTTCTAGATCCCTTGCATAGTGCTTTTTGATTCTTTACACATAATAAACTTGAATAAATAGAAAATGAATGCCTGCTACAAAATGGCTTGGCTGCCTAGAATGCCCTGGCTCTATGTTCAAGCTGGTCCAAAAAAAACAATATCAACTCACAACATGTATCCACATGTATCTAAACTGCCACCCTGGACACAGCAAACCCACAAGACTGCCACGCAGGATCCTTCAACAAAGACAAGCCATTCTATAATGGTTCCCTCTCCCCAAGCCATTTTGTAAAAGAAGCATCATTATATATACATTATATATATATATATGCATTACAATTATTCATTTAGATTCAAAAGCTTAAAGAAGGAATGCATTTGGAGGACAGAGCAAAGCCCCGAAAATTGTATATATATATATATTGGTATACCAATGGTATACCTACGTATATCTATCTTCACCGTTCTTCACCTATCTTCAAGTATCTTGACTCCTCTGCAAAACACATCAAAACACTGCATCCACACGATTCTTCGGATGGCTAATGGTTGTGGATGAGGACCCCTCCCAGAGATTCTTGCCAGGAATCTTTCTGCTTCAGCGCGGTCTGCTCCAGTGTAACTCCCCGGCACTGGAGCGGGAACACCTTGGCAAAGTACCAGAGCTTGGGGGAGCTTTGCACAAACTGGACCAAAAGATCCAAAAGCATCCACAAGTAGTCAGAGGCATGCCCAATATTTGCGTTCACTAAGTGACATGTCAATATGATCAAACGAACCAGCGCTACCCATCACCTGCAGGCTACAAAATGGCTTGGTTGATCTTGGTTGCCTAGAATGCCTTGGCTCTATGTTCAGGCCGTTTAAAACTCAACTCACCACATCTATCCAAATGTATCTAAGCTGCCACTCCGGGCACAGCAAACCCACAAGACTGCCACGCAGGATCCTTCAACAAAGACAAGCCATTCTATAATGGTTCCCTCTCCCCAAGCCATTTTGTAAAAGAAGCATCATTATATATACATTATATATATATGCATTACAATTATTCATATAGATTCAAAAGCTTAAAGAAGGAATGCATTTGGAGGACAGAGCCAATCCCCTTTCATAACCAAGGCTCAATCCCTAGCCGATTCATTTTCCTCGTTGGCGTCCTCGCCGTTCTCATCATTCTCGCCATTCACACCTGCAGTGTTTTGCGGGCATGGAAAAAATACACCGACAGGTGCTGACATCTTTGAACATCCAAACAGACCCAAGTAGAGCATATTATTGTAAGTATTGGTAGACATTGATAGACATTGCTATACATATGCATGTACATATGTAAATATGCATATTCATTGTGTATCATGGTGTCATTGTATATCTATGTATATCTATGTATATCTATGTATATCTATGTATATCTATGTATATCTGTCTTTGTCCCCGTAATGCATATCAATCTATCTATATATCTATATATCTCTCTCTCTCTCTACTCCTCTATCTACCAAAACACTGCATCCACATGATTCTGCAGATGGCTAATGGGACCCCTCCCAGAGTTTGTTGCCAGGAATCGTTCTGCAACTTCAGCGCGGTCTGCTCCAGCGCAGCTCCCCATGCCTGGAGCGGGAATTCCTTGGCAAAGCGCGCATGGTTAAAAAAAAGGATGCCCAGCTGTCAATATGTGTCTCATTGTACTTTAGCAAAAAAAATATAATATATATTAATATATAATCAATATGTGCGCCTGCTGGACTGTTTCTATGTTTGAATTCGTTTGAATGTTGCCTGAAGAACTAGCACTACCCATCACCTGCAGGCTACAAAATGGCTTGGCTGCCTAGAAAGCCTTGGTTTATGTTCAGGCTGGTCCAAAAAAAAGATATAAACTCACCAAATGTATCCAATTACATCTAAACTGTCACCGCGGGAACAGCAAACCCACAAGACTGCAATGCAGGATCCTTGAGTTTGCACAAAGACACGCCATTCTATAATGGTTCCCTCTCCCCAAACCATTTTGTAAAAGAAGCATCAGACATATTGAAAAGCCTTACTTGCGAAGGAATAGATTTGGAGGACAGGGCCGATTCCCTTATATATCTTTTATATTCTTTTATATTATTTTATATTATTTTATATTCTTTTATCATATACCCTGTCAATTCCGGATATAATCATCCAGGCTCTCTCCCTAGCCGATTCATCATCCTCTCTGCTGTTCGCGCCCTGCTCATTATTCTGGCCATTCGCATCCAGGCTTCCTCGGATGGCAAATTTGGTATGGCTTCACAAGCAGTCGCACAAAAAGAAAGCCTACACACATGGATGCAGATATTCGATTTATTAGTATGTTCTGGAATGTTCTGGTTGATATGCACCCATATGGTCACTGATGTATTTAGTCACCCTGTCTTGGTGGAGTCATGGCATTTTGTAAAGGCCCGTGCTTGCAATGGCAAGAGTGACGCTTTGACGCTAAACCCTTTGATATATATATATAAATATAAATAAAATATACATGTATATACATGTATATACATGTATATACATGTATATACATGTATATACATGTATAGGATTGTATGGCACAAATGCCTTGGCCCCAAGGCTCTGGGAACAATTGCCTCACCATCTTCCGGTGCTGCATTTTCCAAGGCTGGCACATCCTCAGCGGCAGGCTTGGCTTCATGTAAGATCACGCCTTTGCGGGTTTAGGGGCCTGTTGGTGCAACCCACGCAAAACACTGAAAATAATTGAAATTATCACAGCGTCCCCCAATGCACTCCCTACAAAGTGGCCTGACTCTAGATTCTGGGTCCATTTTGTCTTCCCACGGCTCATCCACACATCGCTTCTAAGCCCTTGCATGCAGAACTGATTCATTCATCAGCCTGCTGCACACGCCCGAATCAGGCCTAGAAACATCTCACTGACTGTAGTTCATTGAATCTACAACATGAAAAGGAAAAGTTCCACACAGGAATGCATCTTGGCGCAACAATCCAGCAGTTGTGTCTGCACAAGCTGCCGCTACACCACTATTGGCCGTCCATTCCTGCGGTTCACACAGGCTTGGAGCCAGCATGTCACCATTGTAGCGCAAAATTTGCGCGGGTAAATCGCCGACTTCCACAGATCACGTCCTCCTTGCCATCCTCGCTTTCCGGACTTGGTGGTTATCTGCTTGTGGTACTCCTGAGTGGCGGACAGCGTCCGCTGGCCCCATGGCATTTTGTAACAGACATTTTAGCCTAGAGTTAACATGAAATAACCACAAATGGACACACATGGAAGCCACCTTGGAAGTAAGAACAAATTCATAAACACCTCTGAAAATATCTTTGGGTCGTGTATATTCGTGCATACAATTTGAATCCCTGGAACCCAAATCTCTAGTCAAGCTTCCAAAGGCCGACGACGCTTGGCTTGCCGGCGTGCAAACCTCGCCTGCATGCACGATGTCATACCCAATATTGATCAATATTGCAGGACCCACTTGTTTCACATGCCTTTCCTGCTAAAAAAAACAACATGTTGGCGGAAACATGTGGAAACTGGTTCAAGTTGGAGCAGGCAGGGGGTTGTCCAGGGTGCCAAGAACATAGGCCTTGATTCGGAGGTGGTTGCACTTGGTTAGTGTGCGGCGAACACTCTGCACTGTCCTGTCATTCCCAGGGACCGAAACTCATGACCACGTTCATCCACAAAGGGATCTACACAGGTCTTCACAAGCTTTTAATTACATTGCATTCAAATCAAATTTCAATGACAGAGCAGCAGTATTGCTGCATGTACCTCCCAGTTGCATCCCTCCATTCCCGCAAGTCCTCATGTTAGAATAAATCTTGGTGGGTTTGGCCAAATCATGGCCAAACATGCCCAGGTACGTTAAAGTGCACGCCCTCAGCGAGCGCAACGTAGAGGAGAAGTGTGGACCCCTGTGCATATGTGCTTCAGCTGAATTCGTATAAATTCACATAAGTTCAAATAAATTGATATAAATTGATCAATTGATCTAAATGATATATGAATTGAATGTATTTGAATGTAAGGAACATCCCCATCAGTTCTGCCAGCTGCACGAACTCCGGTTGGCAAAAGCCCCATGATGTGCTTGGCTGCTCGCAAATCAGCCAAACATCTGGTCGCAGCGAGTGGAGTATTTTCATACATGTAACCTGGGCGAGTGGAGTATTCTCTCATGGCTCCAAGCATCCCCAAGCCATTTTGTAAGCCTCTGACTTGAACAAGCCATTTTGTATTCTGGGAGGCTCATTTTGGGTCCCTGTGGAAGAAATTGCGCACAAAATCATACAAAATCAATCAAAATCATACAAAATCATACAAAATCAACATCACTTGAAATCCCAGCAGGCCTGCAAACAAATAATTTATTGTTAAATGTCTCGTTGAATTCAAGCAACCCAGTTGGTCCATATGACCCGGGCCAACCTCACCTTCCAGTTTCCCAAGTCACCGCGAACATTCTCCTTTGTCCGCTTGTGGACGGAGGCACAAGCACAGCTGTAGAGAGAACATGGTGGTGCGGCGATAGCCACACCGTTTGTGAAGAGCCTGCAAGCTAAACACTGGTTTTCGATGGTTCCGGAATGCTGAGGACAAACATAACTCATCATAACTCCTGCCTACCACTAAGATCTACTAAGATCATCTAAGATCTACTAGGGGGATCTAGAATGGATCTAGGGGGGACATGCACCCACAACCAAATATGTGTACACATATATACTTCTGTGTGCCAATGTGGTGCAAATGTTTGTATGCATGTGTGCATTGTGAAACAGGAGGCCTCATCAGATATCGAAGCAGGGACCTGCATCCATCCTCTGATGTCAAGTCGTGAGAGCGGCTCAACTTGACGTCAAAAGAGATCCCTGACATTCCCTCTCTGCGCCATGCTTGGGCAACCCGCTGGCTTCCACCAAAAATATCCACAACATGGTACAATGGGAACTCGGACAAACCAGCCGCATAGGCATGCAAGCTATTGTAAGCCTTGTCTGCTGCGAACCACCTGAGCTTGACTTTGTTTTCTTTACAAACTGAAGGGGTTCGGCAAATATCTCTGCATATTTGAATATAAAAATGAAAATAAACATGTGTAGACATGTATAGATAGATACCGATGCAACCATAGATGCGCAAAACCAATCATTTTGTAAGCATGTGTAAGCCCATTTAAAAAGCATATCTACACCCCTGAGACATTCCCGAGGCATCCCAAACCACTTCCAAAATGCATGCCAAGGGCGACTCTTCACCGCTCAAACATGTGGTGTCATCTGAGAGCGGAGGGAGCTTGACAGCAGCTGCCAGCAGCGCCCCAAGAAAGCTCAGGCTCAGAAACAAGCGCACCATGCCACACTAGGCCAAGGTGCCAACTGCTTGCTCGTCTTCACAAATGGTTCAGCCAAATGCTACAGATTAAATGAAATAAAATTCGCCCAGGCAACAAACAAATTGAGGGAATTAAAGACAACAATGTTCATCCAAACCCTCAAGCAGGACAATCCCGGAAGACCACTGCGCTTGGTGTGATGACATGCGAGTCAATAATTGTGCCTAATCTATCCCAGATTGCATCTCCAGAATGAGTGGCCTTGGGATCTGTTTCGAAAACCACATTCCCAAAGAAAACATACCATTTTGTAAAGACTTCTTTACAATCGAGACAAACTTCTGCCCCATTGCACTGACTGATGGTGATGGCTACTTCAGACATTGAAACTTTTGATTGCTTTATGAATCTATATGCATCTATGTTTCTGTCAAATAAAAAAAGTGGTTTGTTTCAATTCATCTAGATATATCTAGTTATTTCTGAATGATTAACTGTATTCAAGTGTATCTAAATGTTTCTACATGTATATTTTCATAAAGTTACTTGAAATTAGCATTTCCGATCTGCCCCGTGCAGAAGCTGTGCAGTCAAGGCTCTTTTAGTACTGGCCTCGACTTGGAGATCACATGCGTCCACTGCCACAGAGAGGTGTCCCTGATACAGGTCACGGGGGGGCAAGCGGATCTAGTCTAGAAAAAAAATTAAGAGGGACTGCATCGCGTTGGCAGCTGCAAATCTTACAAGATGAATGGTATGACACTGTCTGACATGATACAAGCACAAATAAAGAATTCAACTGGTACAGTCTATGCCAACCCTTTGGCCTACAGCAAAGCAGTGCATTCTGTAACCTTCACTGCGGGACTCTCACATCTACATCAGATCCCATAAATCCACACAAATCCTGCAACAATTCAACAGTCTCCCTCAGCACCGACTGCAGATAAGGCTCTCATCATAGTAGCAGTGATGATTGCTGAGCCTCGTTTTGCCAGCTTGAGTCATCGTCTCCAAAGAACAGCGCGAAACTCAGATGTCACCAGCGGCGGCAAGGCTCTGACAAAAGAAGGATGAGAACGGGGACGCATACATTCTTACAATTTGCGTTGGCTGCCGTCTGCAAATACATGGCCCCAGTATCGTCTACTTGTTTGATCTTGTTTGGAAATGTTTGGAACAAGATGAAGAAATAAATGCATAAATATAAATGCAAATAAATGATTATAAATGCGTATAAATGCATACATATGCATACATGTTTTTCAACCAAACCATTTTGTAGCATAGTTTGTGACACCCTGAACTTCTCTGGGCAGTAACCCCTTTAGCCCCAAGCCCCAAGCCATTTTGTAAGAAAACTGGTTTCAAACCATCAGGCAAACATGAACATCAAGCTGCCCTGATCCAATGGAGATATCAACTAATGCCAGCAGTTATTACCATCTATTTCCAAACTTGCAGCACCACAGCCCTTTCGACCTACCGAGAAGCGCCAGCACTGACGCTGTGAATTCCATACTGGCTTGGGCACATCATGGACACACATGCCTACCCCGCATGTTGAAGGGTAACCTGGTGGTGGCTCACGCGCCGCCATGCTAGTTGCGCAGTGGGGAAAAAAGCCAAAACAGCTGAAGATTGGCACCGTGCAGATGCAGAAAAATGTCCCAGTTTTGGAAAAAATACCACAAAGTTTGATATCACCTTTTCTGGTTGGTTGACTTAGTGGTGTCTTGCCGGTTCTTCACACATCAATGATGGAACCCCAAAAAGAAATAGAGAAGAAACCCTGATTCCTGGACATGGCCAAGATTTCAATACCCTTTTTTACACTGCCTGAAATGAACCCAAAATTGCGTTATGAAATGATTGGCCCCGAGTTCATTTTGTAAAGAAAATTGGCTCTTACAAAATGATTCGCCCAGCAAAAAACATGCTTTTTACAAAATGGCATGGTTGACCAGAAAAATGTCCTTACAAAATGCCTCCTTTTGTTAGAAAAATGACCCTGGAATGGAACATGGGTCAAGCCATTTCATAGTGGAAATGTACACAGGGATACAAAACAAAGAATCTTCATGCACTGGTTGATCCACTCTTTTAATGGTTGAGTGCCTGTATTTTGATGCTAATGGCCGCCTTCTTCACCTTGCAGGTCGTATTTGGGATTGACCAGCCGCAAGGTGTGTAGACCTTCAAGCCGATCGTTCAGGTCGCAGTCCTGGTAACCGGTGGCCTCGAAGTCCTCGTTGTAGCGCCCAGCTGCAAAAAAGGTCTCCGGCAGCGGCATGCCAACCCCGCCCGGTCGTCCCGGAATCGCTTCCAGACATGAACGTGAAACCCCACATGTTCTCCAGTGGGAGCTTCAGGCGTCACTCGACGCTCGGATCCGCCAACGTTGGCAGAAGTTCTGTGCCAAAATGTTGTCAGCGTCCAAACTGATCAGTATGTGACGCTTTTGGTTGGGTTGCCTGGGCAAAGGCCATGACGGGGTAGAAGCACCGTCCTTCGGTTGACGGGAGACCTTGGTGATTGTAAAGTGAAAAACACTGAGGGGTATACCACATATTTTGATAGTTATATATTTTCTTTTTGTTGTTGGTTCCACGGCTAACTTTGGATGAGCTGCCAGTTTTTGCTTGCTAGTAAAAAAAAATCCTATCTACAACAATCAAACTATGCAATATAACCACCCATCCAGTTGTGGTATCACATTTATGTCAGCTACATACCCGTTTCTTATACCCGTTTCTTGTTGCTTACATCACATTTTTGTTGCTTAAATCACCATGTCAAACCATCCAATTGGGCTCAGCAGCCTCTAAAATAAGAGTTTGCTATGGAAAATCAACTACCAGTATTCAATGGCCATTTCAGGAACCTAAATTGGAGGTACCCACCATATGTAAGGCCTATATAAGGCCTATGTAAGGGAATATCCTCACAAAATATGGCCTGAAAAATGGTACAGTACCTCCATTTTAGGATCCTGAAATTCCCATTGAAGTATCTTTAGGGGATGTTCCTAGGGAAATCGATGGATTTCCATATATTTCCATAGTTATGTTAGTTTACTGAAAGGTACCAGTAGTACCGCACAAGGCGGTGGCGGAAGTTTCAAAAATAGAAAACCTGTAGGAAAGGTTGGTTGTTGAGAATCAGGGATGACAGAGCGAAGCCACTGATGGAGCGACAGGTCTCCTCTCTTTCTCTCTCTCTCCCTCTCTCACTCTCTCTTTCTTTCTCTTTCTTTCTCTCCTTTTCTTTCTTTCTCTTTCTCTGAATATTTACCTACCTACCTACCTACCGATCTATCTATCAATCAATCTATCTATCTATCTAACTATCTATCTATCTATCTAGCTACCTACCTATCTCTCTATCTCTCTATCTCTCTATCTCTCTATCTCTCTATCTCTCTATCTATCTCTCTATCTATCTATCTATTCATCTGTTTATCTATCTATCTTTCTATCCATCTATCCATCTATCTATCTATCTGTCTTTCTTTCTATCTATCTATCTAGCTATCTAGCTATATATCTAGCTATCTACCTATCTATCTAGCTATCTAGCTAACTAGCTATCTAGCTATCTATCTATCTATCTAATCTAATCAAATCTTATCTAATCTAATCAATCTAATCTAATCTAATCTAACCTAACCTATCTATCTATCTATCTGTCTATCTATCTATCTATCTAGCTATCTATCTATATATCTATCTATCCTACCTATCCTATCTATCCTATCTACCCTATCTATCCTATCTATCCTATCTATCCTATCTATCCTATCTATCCTATCTATCCTATCTACCCTATCTATCCTATCTATCCTATCTATCCTATCTATATCCTATCTATCCTATCTATCCTATCTATCCTATCTATCCTATCTATCCTATCTATCCTATCTATCCTATCTATCCTATCTATCCTATCTATCCTATCTATCCTATCTATCCTATCTATCCTATCTATCCCTATCTATCCTATCTATCTATCCTATCTATCCTATCTATCCTATCTATCCTATCTATCCTATCTATCCTATCTATCCTATCTATCCTATCTATCCCTATCTATCCTATCTATCCTATCTATCCTATCTATCTATCTATCCTATCTATCCTATCTATCCTATCTATCCTCTATCCTATCTATCCTATCTATCCTATCTATCCTATCTATCCTATCTATCCTATCTATCCTATCTATCCTATCTATCCTATCATATCTATCCTATCTATCCTATCTATCCTATCTATCCTACCTATCTACCTCTCTACCTATCTACCTTTCTATTTTTCTATCCATCCATCTATCTATCTATCTATCCATCCATCTATCCATCTGCCCATCTACCTATCTACTTTTTCTATCATCTATCTATCTTCCATCCATCCATCCACCCATCCATCTATCTAATCTATCTATCTGTCCATCTATCCATCCATCCATCCATCTATCCATCTATCCATCTATCTGTCTAGCTATCTAAGCTATCTAAGCTATCTAAGCTATCTAAGCTATCTAA